TTCAAATGTTTAAACATAATTTTTAAAAGTGGTTCGGTGGCCCACGTATTCTTTTAGACAGTTACTCAGCACAAATTGCTTGGAAAAGACTGCTTACAGTTTACAACAAATGCGGTTTGTTACTTTTCGAGTGGCTTAAATGCGCCGAATATAAGTGAAAAATTTTATGCCCAAATGAGCTGCATCTTCTCAGAAGTACCTAGGTTGTCAATTCAGAAAAGTCTAGTTGTTGAGAATTTAGGGAATGGATTATTCGCAAGTATTGAGCAGTCCTTTACATGAAGAGTGATTACGCACGTCTTTCATTTCTTCACTTCCATTTTTTGTTAAGCTGCAGTATCTGTGAGATTCAGAAGTGTGCGAAAGCATCTTTCACCTCTTGACTTCAGGTTTTTTTCTTTGGAGCACCATGCTTCACGTTCCTTTGCAAAGCGGTCTAGGACCCTTTCAAAGCATTGGTGGTGTTTGCTGAACTGGCTTGTTTTAAACCGTCAGTAGCCCCTTCAATAGCCCTTTCCGAGGAGGCCTCCCATTGCGGCATCAAAACAATATGGGACCATCAAACTGAAATAAGTCCAAATATTGTTGGACTTAATGTTGTTCAAATGTATATAATTTCAGGGAGAATCGGCGTCTCAGTATCCTACGTCTCCTCCTCCTGGTCTGATCTCGATGCGACCACCCGGACTGGCGCCACCGCCGGGATTCGGGCCCCCACCTGGTTTCGAAACGTCTGCTTCCTTTAACATCACCTGATACCGCTGTTCTTAATGAAACCAACCCTTTCGGTACACCTTAATAGGTATTCCGAGCTGTAATAAGTGCGGTTAAGTCTGTGGAATTTTTTGTTGATTGTTTTTGCACTTAAAGGGAAGTGCACTTAGTTCAAACACGGAAAATTCCAGTGTGGTTTATTAGAATTCCCGATTGTTCTGCTGCAGCAGTAACGTTGCTATTGATTTTAGCAGTCGTATTTAAATTTCTCACTTTTTCCAGTCATATTTTCATGTCAGGAATTTTTGGTTAAAGTGGTTTTGGACGTAGGGTATAAATAGTCATAGAAGTTTTTCTGTGGAAGTATATTCGACTCTGTCAAAAAGAGCTCGCTTTTGTTCGGAAGAGTTGTAATCGTTCTGGTTGGTCTTTCCAGCCTGTTCCTTCGTTATCCAATTGTTTGTGCTGGATGCGATGCCTTCTGTCGTGTTCTGTTGTGGTCATATTTCAAATTTTTTTAGGTTTATAGTCGTTTTTACATTATGACGGGCCTCTGTGATTAGAAATTGTTGGTTCTACTTGTGATAGCATTCTTGTCTGGGCTTTACATAAATTATTGCCGTTGCCTTCCAAAAAATTTCTTTGTTTTACATAGATATAGATTTTTTTCTCACCCTTCAATGCGTCATCTGTTGTATTAGGTTTGTTTGGGGTGGTAGAGCTGGGTTTTGTGTCTTATGGTCTTTCAAAATGGTTTTTTTAATTAATAAAGTGTAAGTTTCAACAAATTTCAGCCCCATTCTATTGAGCAGTTCACTGTGACAGCAACAGCATGCTTTGGCAGGGTTTTTGAGGTTGTTTTTTTTTGAAGTAGTTGGATTTGAAAAGGGAAATAATAGGTGGTGTGCGCGAAAAAGAGCTGTTTGTGTCGAGACTGTGAAAAAAAAGTCTCTTGGATTTCGCATGCCAACTCCTAAGCTCTATGGTGCTAGACTTTTTGAGAAATAAAAGTGGACGTCTGGAAGTGAACACTTTTCCACGAAATAATTTTAGTGGAACAGATATAGCTGTGTTTTGAAAAGATTTGGGCCCGATGAAACAGAGTAGCTACACCTTGCTTAGTGCTATTGAATTATTAGTATATTCTGTGCGGGGAATTATACATCGTTTCGCCCGTAAAAATAGAAAGTAAGCACGTAATGCTGGAATGGGTGGGGAAAAGCATGAATAAATTTAGGTGCGGAATATACTTCCACGATTTATTGGCTTTTTTGCACAATTAACGACGGTTCTTCGGAATACTAAGAAGGCTACCTCGAAGAGTCAATTAAAGTATTTTCTCGAGCAATAACAGATTTATCAAACTGGATCATATACGTCGTCCCGTTGTGCCAGAACGCGTTGACTTTGCAAGGAAAATTACTTGCCTAGAATTATTATACTGAAAGATGTATAAAAAGTGTACTTTAAATACTACGCTTAACAAAAGACGTTGAAAGAATTAAATTGCGAAATAAAGGGGAAAAAAGAAAAAGAAATACAAGTGTAAAAAAAAAATTCACCTTTAACACTGCTTCGATTATACCGGCAGTAAATGACGCACAGTTTAAGCTGTTTTTATCTCTTGGAACAGAAATATAAGTGTTCACAAGTGGTTCTTTTTCTATGAGTAAGTCTGCAAATGCAAACATTAAGAAGGAGACTTGCAGATGTTCGATTAAATTACGGAAAAAAGATCATCGGAATAAATTCTAAACTGGTTTTAGTCCTTCCTGAAGCCAGAAATTAAGTGTGCGTATAAGGTACGTAAACCAAAACATTTCAAAGCAAAATTCAGAACATTATCTGATTCTGAACGCGCCTACATTGACAAGGATCATCGTTACTTCTTTCCAGCTTATCTGCCTCTTTATTGAACAGATTCTTCCATACAGTGCTCTTGACAAACATTAACATGTTTAATAACTTGATTTCTCTTCTGTATCCTTTCTCTCTTAAAACTATTACATCCACAAGACGGGAGCCCACAAATTTTCCATAATCAGCTAACCTAAAATGTAATGATTAGTACTAATCGACTGGGCATATCAAAGATGAGTAAACTTTGAGATAGCAACACTACAAACAACCTTAAGCCTTACTTATCTTGCAACTCTCCAACTGTATTTGAATGGTTGCTCGCATACCGCACCATCTCAGCAAAAAGCAAAGCAAATGATGAGAGGTTTACCTGAAGTGGGAAGCATAAATACTTGAGGAATCTAAAAGTGGTCCAATTCTGATTTGACTACCCAATAAAGATAAATTACGTAATTTTTCCTCTGTTTCCCTACCCACATTCTTTTAGCAAAACACTGTTCTGACCCGGGTTCCTTGCAGCTGAAAGCATACGACCTCGCCCACAACCTTTCCGTCACTGGCACAATAGAAACGATTTCCCAACACAGTAAACAGTTTATCAAGTCGTCGAAAGGGATCTAGAGAACTCCTGACTATCTCCAGCTCAAAAAAATACTCAAATGATTTTAAAATGGAAACGCTAAAACAACAAGAAAATGATTTCAGCTCTCCGGTCAAATGATAGAAAATGTATAAATTAGGAGGGATGCCGTCTATGCCCACGATTTTCATAGACTGGAAAGTAGTAGGCGCAAAATCACTGCTCCTACCCACTGATCTTAAAATGCTCGTTAAGAAGCCATACTTCCGCACAGTAACAACTATGGCTAAAAACAGACTTCGACTTATACCGCCACTGACGATCCATAATCAGTGTTCCATTTTGAAGACCCGGTGCCGAAGGACAGAATTTTGTTGGGATTCCTTGGAACACGTTGCCGATGCTACTCACGAAAACAAAACTTGCACTTTCTAAACCCTAATGGAGGCTTTTTTTTTTCTTTTTTTTGCAAACATATGGTCTGAAGAGTACCGACATTTAGTGGAAACTGAATCTTTCTGAAGCTGGGCAGTGAGACTTCTTCCCGGGCTTTTCTCCACTTCCCTCTCTACTTAACCCAAACAAACTTCTACTGTTAGAAAATTTGCCAATTCAACAACTCAAACCTCCGTCTTCCCTTTGCTGAGTGTCTTGTCCAGTATGCTAACATGTTTACTGCTAGCTATGCGTTGCATCAACTTCCGTAACTACCTAAATAGCAATCATCAGGAAACAGAAATATAAAGCGGCTAGAAACATAGACTGATCCTACAAAGTTTCTTTGCTTATCAAAACAAAAAAATGCAAGAACAAACAAGTATCTTGGGAGCGCTAATGTACACATGCAGTGCAAGACATATTACTGCAACCAACGGCTTATAATGGATATCTTTAATCCAAAATACTGAATACATGGCACATATTACATTACCAAAAAAAAAAAAAAAAACAGCAAAGTTATTGTGGGCATCCAAGAAACTATAGTTTTCCTGTATATCATTCGTTGATAGAAATTTATTCCCAACTTTTAACTATATTCAACAAACTAGTGCTGAGTGTTTCGTTTATCGTACGCACATACGCAAGCGTCATTCTAGGCAACTTTTAAACAAATATAATTGTATAACTGAAGTTTACAAACTTTGATTGTACTCTTAATTTTCATTTTTCTGTCCTAATGATATTCAAAAATACAGCTTGAATAACACTAATCAAAATACCACTGATAACCGTAGCAATGAGGAAAAACAACTTCAAAAATTAAGAAATGAGTAGTAAAAGCCAAATATGAGGTAAAAGAACTAATGTACAACGTAACAAACAAAATAAATAAGAAACCAAAGTCTCTGAGATCTATAATTCAAGCGAATTGCGCCACATATCAAGTAATTTCCGCAACTCACCACTTGCATTCTTCACCTGTTCGCGAGAGTTCATATTTGCCCCTACAAAGAAAAAAAAAATCATGAAGCAGTTTTGCAACTGCTAAGTCAAAGACCCATGGCAAAAATTTATGGTTTCACCCTGTCTGAATTCTTAAACTTGATGCAATACTTGTAAACCATAAGAAGATGACTCACTTTTATAAGTGATTTGGAAACAATGGAGATCGAAACTTGGCTCCTTGGGTTCAAGACTGAAAACAATTTGCGTTTGGAGTGGAATACAAAAGAACACCTCTATTATATTTCACCAAAAAAAAAAAAACAAAAATAAATTTTCTCTGTAACTGAATATATTCACCCCTGAAAACAAACACTTCTCACAACATAAGCTATATTTGTTGTCTGACTTGTTCTTGGCAAGACATTCAAGCACTCATATCATGCAGCAACTATACTTTACCCATTTAACTTCGGTTTCCAAGATAAAGTTTGTAAAATAAAATACGGTAATGTATGAAACAAGCTGAGGGAACCTACTTTGTAGAGCCATGTCTTTTTGCAACCTCAGGAGCAAACAGAAATGCCGAACCTGGCATGGTCCGAACCTTACCATAATCATTGCTCGCATTTTCAAATTCTTTGGAGGTGTCGTACTCTTCCTTCCGATGACCTTCAAAAATGCGAACAATAACTTCTTCTTAAACATTAAAAAAGTTTAGCACTGTTAATGCAAATGCAAATCGGTATCTAGATTACCACTAGCGAACGGCGCATCCTGCTCTTTTTGACTCCTTATTTGTTCAAAAGATACCAGATCCTGTTTGTTACCTCTTTCGAAATGTTGAAAGACTTTCTCAGCTGAGAGAGAAGATTCTGGAGAAAAAAGTTTGTAGTCAAGTAATTCATCCAGATCCGTTTCATTAGAAAACTGTTTCTCGCGACAACTATTTCCACTGACAATAAATGGAAACTTATTTTGAACGTCGCAATTACTGTAGCCATATCTCATTTTTACAAAAACATCTCGTTCCTCGTCAGGTCTACTGGTAGATGTATGGTTCTGAAGCTGGCCTAACGGCGAAACTGTTGTCCTAAAGTCTCTTCTAACTGCGCCCTGCATTTTCAAGTCTATATCGCCTGGACCATTTTCTCTCGGTCGGGAATACTCTATATTCAAAAATTTCCCGGCGACTCCTGAACTTCCTATTTCATCCTCTTCACAATCAATGGGCCTATTTGACCTTCTTGTTCTCATTACACTTTTCGACGCCCGAGACTGCCGCCTAAATTAAAATATTTGTTGATCTTAAATGACATTTGTTTCAAACAAATCTGTCAAAGAGAAAACAGATACATTCAAAAAAAAACTCAATGTTAATTAAAAAATTAAAACCCACAGCGGGAAATGGCGCGCATCATAAGGAAATTCCAGGGGGATGCACTTCCTGGACAAGACAAAAAAGTTGAAACTGAAAAGCAAAGAAAAATTGAAAAGGCTTGGAGGAATGAAATATTACAAAAACTTAAATGAATAAGACCCAGTTATAACACAGCTCCAAAAACTCATAAAACGGGAACCAATTTTACCAATTCCGTTCGTAAAGGCTTTTCTATTACAAATAAAACAGTAACAACACTACAAAAATCGGTAGTGTCAATAAAACAACAGTTTTAAGTCAAGTCTTAGACAACCATGTATTTCCTTGCTAACTGCAAAAACTAAGCCCTATTAAAAAAACTGTAAAATTTAATAAGTTATAAAAAAATGTTCTAACACTGTTTCATGCGCACTCAACAAGGAGCAAAATTTCTTCTGTTTTACGTTACGTCCACTGTGGAATGAACAAGCAACATCCGAGTGGAGAACTTCGGGCCAAAACTTCTGCATTTTTTCTGCTATATCCTCCCTCAATTTATTGGTAAGTTCATGTCCAAGATAACTAATCACTCCTAAGAGGTAATCTTCGACAGTCATGAAATGGGTTTCCACACGACCTATAACAATATTTCAAACCTGTACAAAACTCTCCCTATTTTTAAGCTTTAATTTAAAGAAACGAAACTAGCATTTAGTTTATAAAACGGAGTAAATCAGCTAAGGAATAACACTACAAAGTGACCAGAATTTACTTCTTCCAAAACCAATTCCCCTACAACTACTTCTTGTTCGAAACAGATTCTAAAGCAGCACCGCAACTCAAGCCTCCCAAATAAACTACTTCATTTGCAGGATGAAAAGATAAACGAAAAGAAAACCAAAAGACCACAAAAAGACGCCCTATTCTTTCTTTGAAATAAAAACTGCTCCAAACACAGCAAAATAAATATGAGTTTGCAAATAGTAAATAGCATGTAAATAGCAAGCAGTAAGCAGCAAATGTAAACAGCAAAGTAAATACGCTATTCACATCACACAAAGAAACTTCTAATTTAAACTTTTAACTAAAATACAATTTATAAAGTTGGTACTATTAGATGAAAAGTCGTACAAAAGATATTTTGAAAGAATTTCCAGAAACGTACGTGTATAAATTCATATCAAAAAAGCCTCTAATACTGCCATTACTAGCTGAGGAACTACATCAGTAGCAGCTTTAGCGGTGCTTTAAGCTGTAATAATTATTTCCCTACCAAACAAAAAGTTTCTAAGCCACAGTTGTGCTTTCTGGTTCAGCAAGAAAGTAAAAGAAATGAAGGGTTAAACAAAGCCTCAATAGCCTATAAGAAAATCGATTTTATCATGAAAAATAAGGGCAGTGTCTTTTCGATCCCGACTTTGAAATACAGAACAAAAAGAAGAAAGTAGTAAAAAAAGATGAAAAAGCTTCTAAGGAACGACTTTACGTCGTAGGGATTACGTGTTTATTTCAACAGCCCAAAAAAAAATCCAGTAAGAGCCTAACTTGTAAACAAGCAATCAAATATAGGTAAAACATACTGACTGTTTTATCCCTTGTCATTTCGTACAAAGTTTGGAAAGACCCGACAACCTTGTTCCAACAATCAGCTTTAACAAGAATGTTTTTTCCAGATTCATTCATTCCTGAATATTGTTTTATTTCATCCCAAACATTGGCAAAATCGCTCCTTCCAATAGCATAAGATTTGTCCTCGACAGCAGGTATTCCAGTACCACGTTCTGAATAGCTGTATCAGTATTCGAGATCAAAAAAAGCTCGTTATATAAGACGAAAGCCTTAAAAGCAAAAATGACAGATACCGTTTTCGTCTAGTGACTGCCTACAGCTTTCAGGTAATTTCTGCGTCAGCTGTAGAACGAAATTTTTTTTTGAAATTATTCCGTTTTCAAAACTGAATTTCAACAAAGAAATTTCGCAAGGAAACATTTTTTTGTTATAATCGCAGAAAAGGTTTACAGATGCGGTACACAGTTCTTTAGCCTTCAAATATCCGATAAAGTCTTCCTGCTCTAAAAAAACTTATGGCAGATTACAAAAATATAAAATTTAAAAAACATTAGTCAAAACCACTAGTCAGGCAATTAATGTTACCATGGAAATTAAACTGTAAGGAGGAGCAAAGTTCTTCAACATCGGCGCGCCTTTTCTCATTGAATTCATTGTTGGTTGTGGAGTAATACTGAAGCAAGAATTAGCTCAACTAAGCACTGTCTGATTTTGTCATTATAATTGACTCATCATAGAATTTGGTTTTCAAAAACCGATACTGACAAAGACAATCAAGAAGCGCCAATAACTAACCACTTTAGCAAACGTGTCAATTTCATCATAACGTCCAGAAGGGGGTAAAATAGAATTACGGCCTTTCGGCAGCAATCTCTGAAAAGAAACCTGCGTCTAAATAATAAAGAAAATAGTTACAACACACATTACCACTACTCTTTGAACATCTCTTACACTTGCCGATGTATTGTTTCCCTGGTATAAACGACACTTCATTTCGTGTTTACGTTCTTTATTCCGTAATCTGCGCTGAAAGCCCGACTCAGACGAGTTGAATTTCTTCGCCTTGTCTTTCCACTGTTTTTGTTCCTCTTCAGAAAGCTCCTATAAGCATCTTAGTGATACAACAATAAATGAATCTGAATCGTTCAATTTTTCAGAGTAAACTGACTTCCCAAAGAGATGATCCTTTTTCTCCCAATTCCTTCCCCGTAACAGAATGTCCTAATTCGGCTTCTAATCGTGGTTTGACAACTTTCTCCACAAACATCCAATATCCAGACATTTTATCAGTCATCTTTCCCAGCACATGAATTTTAAAGCACTGAAAAGTTATCAAAGACTAAAATGCAAAACCTCTAATCTTCCAAAGGTAAGGAACTGAGGCCACTAATTAAGAAACTTGGCACTGTTAAGTTCCGCAAAATTTAAGTAAGAAAGAGCACTTGAAACAGCAATTCCTAAACTCGCTTTAATCCGAGTGACACCCAACCTAGCGACTATCTTTATCTACTGTTCACACATTGAAAAAAAAAAAAAAAAAA